GATCATGCCTAAATTTCATTTTGTCCTTATAAATTTTGACATTCTCATAAGCTTCGTTTCTCAATTCATCAAGCTCATTTAATTACAGTGATCACTTCTCTCCAGCATCTTTCAAATTATAATTAAAATTTTTAATTACCCGGTAAGCTTTATGTCTAACTCAACTGATAGTGACATGTTTTTCCATATATGAGCCTGCATGGTGTCATTCCTATAGGTGTTTTATATGCAGTTCTATAGATCCATAAAGTATTATCAAGTCTAGCAGACCAATCAATCCTTTTAGGATTTATCATTTTTTCTAATATTCTTTCAATTTCTTGATTGAATACCTCTGTTAAACCACTGGTCTGAGGATTATAAGTTGTGGCAATACGATGTTTAATCCCAAATTTTTGAGTTATATTTTTAATCATTCTATTCCTGAAATGACTTCCCCAATCTATAATGATAACTCATGGCATTCTAAATCTTGTGAAAATATTCTTTCTTAAAAATTTTGCTACACTTTTAGCATCGCAGTGAGGTAAAGTAACTACTTCAATCCATTTAGAAACATAATCCACAACTATTAAAATATAAATCTTTCCAAAAGATGGTACAAATAATTCCATGAAATCTAATCCCCAAACATCAAAGATTTCAACTTCAAGAGTAAAATTTAGGGGCATTTCATCTCTTTTAGAAATATTGCACTCTCTTACATCGAACACATATTGTTATATAATTATTAACATCCATAAATAGTATAGACCAATAAAATTCAGATTGTAAAACCTTAAATGCAGTTTTATCCACTCTAACATGTCTCCTAAAATCTGATTTATGACATTTTTAAATAATTTCTTGGGCTTCTTTTAATGGTACACATCTTCGAATAATTAATTCCTTACATTGTTTATAAAAATAAGGGTCATCCCAAAAGTAAAATTTTGAATCATAAATAAACTTTTGGATTTCATGGAAATCTAATACGTAAGGTAAAATATTACTAACCAATTAATTCACTATATCAACATACCACAAAATTTGTCATTCACTAATCCCATATAATTGTTCATCAGGAAAGTTCCCATTAATTTCATCATTTAAAACTTTTTTATTTTCTTGTTCAAGCCTTGATAGATGATCAACTATTTGATTATTAGTACACTTTCTATCCACAACTTGGAAATAAAATTCTTGCATTAGAATGACTCATCTAATTAATCGTGATTTTGCATCATTCTTCATCATTAAATACTTTATAGCAGAATGATCAGTATGCACAATACATTTGGTTACAATAAGATAAGACCTAAATTTATCAAAAGCAAACACTGTAGCAAATAATTCCTTTTAAGTGATAGTGCAATTAATTTGAGTCTCATTAAGGGTTTTACTAGCATAGTATCTCACTTTGAATGTTTTTCACATCTCTGTCCTAGAACAACCCCTACAACATAATCACTCACACATTAATTGAAAAGATTTTGTCTATTAGGTGAATCAATAATAGGTGTAGTGATTAATTTCTCTTTTAATAAGTTAAAGACATATAGACATTCATCATCAAAATTAAAGTTGGCATCTTTTTCTAAAAATTGACATAAAGACTTGGAAATTTTTGAAAAATATTTAATATAACAACTGTAGAAGCCAACATATCCTAGAAAACTTCTTATTCCCTTCACATTAGTAGGAGGTGGCAATTCGACAATAACTTGAATTTTCACTGGATCAACTTCCATGCCTTTTTCAGAAATTTTATGCTCTAACAATATTCCTACTGCAACCATAAATTGACAATTTTCCCTATTGAGAACAAAGTTTGTTTCTTCACAGTGTTTTAAAACTCTTGCTAAATGATCTAAACATAAATTGAAAGAAGTCCCAAAGACTGAGAAATCACCCATAAAAATTTCAATTTCTTTTTCAATTAAAACACAAAAAAATGTCATCATATATATTTGAAAAGTTGTAGGGATATTGCATAATCCAAATAACATTCTTCTAAAAGCAAAAAGTTCCATAAGAACTAGTAAAAGTAGTTTTCTCTTGATCCTCAAGAGCAATAGGTATTTGGTGCTATCCAAAATATCAATCCAAAAAGCAAAAATAATGGTGTCTTGCTAGTCTGTCTAACATTTGATCTAGAAAAGGTAAAGGAAATGATCTTTTCTAATGGTGACATTTAATGTTCTATAATCAATACATATTCACCATCCAACAACTTGCATTGTTAGAATTAATTCATTTCTTTCATTTTCAACCACAGTCACTCCTCTTTTCTTAGGAACACAATGAATAGGACTAACTCGAGAGCTATCTAAAATTGGATAAATAATCCTAACATCCAACCACTTTATAATTTCTTTCTCAACTACTTTTTCCATTACAGGATTCAATCTCCATTGAGGATTAGCCCTAGGCTTATGGTTATTTTCCATTAGAATTCAGTGCATACATATTGAAAGACTGACTCTTTTAATATCAGCTAATGTTTATCCAAATGTTTTTTTATGATTCTTTAACACTTACAATAATTTTTCTTCTTGATCTATAGTTAAATCTGAGGATACAATAACTAGTAACGTAGATGAGCTCCCCAAATATGCATACTTTATATAAGTAGGTAAAACCTTCATCTCAAGTTCATGAGGTTTTTCAATAGATGGAATCAAATGTATATAATTTTCAGTAGTATCTAAAATTTCATAATTTTCCTAAACATAATTTAAATCCTCAGTAATCATTTCATTTGATTCTAATCATTTCATCCCATCAGGACACGTTATTGTTTTAAGCACATTAAATGTAACTCCTGATCATTCACTTTCATTATTCATTTACCTTTTTACACATCTATTTTAACATTTCAGTCTCAGCTTCTTGTTTTAAGCACATTAATTATAACATTTCCCATCAAGACACGTTATTGTTTTAAGCACATTAAATGTAACTCCTGATCATTCACTTTCATTATTCATTTACCTTTTTACACATCTATTTTAACATTTCAGTCTCAGCTTCTTGTTTTAAGCACATTAAATATAACATTTCCCATCAGGACACGTTATTGTTTTAAGCACATTAAATATAATATATATATTATATTTAATATAAATTATTTTGTTAAAGAGAAGAATAACAATCATTTAATTATATCAAACAATCTCATATAGTATTAAATGAACATATAGTTACTAGAATTAATGAAGAAAAAACATGGTGTTGGTTGTGATTCTCCCAAACTTCTATTACCAATGGTTACAAGAATTCATGAAGAACCAACTACGTTGGTTGTGATTCTTTGAGACTTCTAGTTATTTGTTCATAGGTTGGTGTTGATGAGTTCGACTAGTTATATCCTCTTTTATTATTTTTTGTGTAAGCAAAAAGTTTGAATGAATATATCTTGATTTAAATTTAATTTGGAGGTCAAGATAAATCATTTTTTTTAATATAAAATAATGCACATGTCATAAAAATTGAACCTTATGAAGGTTAAAAATATAAATTGATATCTTAGTTTTTCAAATTTTGATGAGCGCATTACAAAAATAGTAATTGATGTTAGTTTTATTATAGGTAAAATATAAACATTATATAATAGATTTATGAAATAAGAAAAACATGACAATTATAATAGCTATTATTTTATGAGACATAAAGGTCACATTTTGCTTAAGTAAAAAAGAGGAAGCTGTGACATAGAAAGATTTTTAATATCTTAATTGACTAGATATTCATTTTTTTAATTTTGTTAAATTACATGTATTGAAATGTTAAATGAGACCGACCTCTTCATTGCATTATTAGTTGAAAATTTTTGTTCTCTTTCAGAGGAAATAAGTTTGACATCATATAATTAAAAAATTCTCCCACAATACTTTAAAAGAAGGTCTACATATATTACACTCAAATTCTATATATTACATATCTAGTTCCTAAATTTGAATTCTTACATACTTGCCATCTTATTTATGCATATATATATATATATA